ATATATATATATATATATATGCATGTGTCTCTATTTGTTTGATAAGAATAGATAGTTTAAAACTTATTCTAGATTTCTAGTTTCAGGCATAAAACTTCATTTTAAAATTACGTTATTAAAATTATTAGTACTTTTGTATTTTTCATTATATTTTAGAATTATATAGATATTCTACACTTGATGTCACAATCTTTCATTTCCATCTAGTTTAAAAATTCAGTTACCTATGCATATATTTTGTACGGTATTATTATTAAAGTTTCAAACCAATATAAACTCACAACGAACTGTCCACCAATCAACTGTCCTGCCTGACCGACATAGAGAGTGGAGGCGCTGTCGAACTCTAGTACTTTAGGAATACGTTGACTAGTAATCTGACCGTAGTCTTCACATTGGAAATACAGCCGGGCCTTGTTCCCATTCACACTCAAGGCGATCCTAAATAGTTAGAAATGTGCTTAAAACATAATAAATATTACTACGTTAAACTAAATTGATGACATCATCATTTAACTGACCTTTCATTACTTATTTCCTGCCGGTCACTGACAGGAACTATTGTAGGTATGGCCTAAGTTTTATCTGACTGTTTCTAGCCTTGATTAAGGATAGCGATAAAAACGTGAAATCCAGTTCAACAACAGACAGTATTTATACTGAAGTACAAACTAAGAAACGACGATTTGGAAACATTTTGTTAGTTGTAGATAACGCTACATGTCTCGACAGTTCTGTGATCTGCCTTCGTGTATTTGAAGTACGTTTTCTACAGGAATGTAATTGTTCTCACAAATCGTTTGTTCGTTAGTTTGCTACTGTGTTAGCATAATATGCTTTCTTACACAAGTAAATGTATAACATACTAAATCAATGTATTTGGATGTCATACTTAGCCCAGTTTCCAATAAAATTTGGAATAGTAAACGAGGCCCAAACTTGAGAAGCAATGTGCATCGTAACGTCAGTGTAGTAAAGACTAACGTTCACAAAGTCGTTTTGTAAGTCCATTATCTTTAACCCCAACTGGACGATCGTTTCCGATGGATTAACGACTAGAAGAAAATATAGAAGTTTTCAGCGTTGTTTGACAAAAAATAAATAAATAAACAAACTATAAAACATAAGGCAAAAAGTTTGTACAGACATTTAAATATGTCTGATGACAATAAGTGTATTGAAATATCACGTGAACCCCTGCACAATGCTAAAAATATCAACTAATGAAGTAAAAACGAATAGAAAGAGAATATAATTAAACGAGACACTGATTTCACCTAACGCTGTATATGCTGTAGTTAAAAGTTTTTTATGTATTACCATACATTCTCATAATTCAGGAAATTAATTTCACATTAAAAATCAACACTGAAATTTACTTTACCAGCGAAAAGAAATCCTCCTGACTTATCATGGCGTTCAGGCTTAATAGTCGCTAAAATGGAAAAGTTACGATACATCTTTCTTGGCAAAAAGAGACGGTAGGGGGCTCTAATTTCTGTGTTTTCACTCAATCTAAACGCTGGAAAGCTTTCCAAACCATTGATGAACTTAACCGATGATGAAATAAATGGCATTTTTATGGTTTCCAGAAGATCCAGAAAATCTAAACGATCTAAATAATGAAAGAAGAAGTATATCCTGAACACTTGTATCAATACCATTCATACAAATATAAGAAAATATACAAGAGTAAATTAAATCTAACATTACGAGGTTTCCAAGAAGTACATGTTCCTGAGGTTGAAAAATAATGAGTCTGAAAATTCAAAATCAATGTATATACATATTTGATAATTGAGATGTACCTATAGTTTAAAGCTGCAGAAATGCATATACAGCGCCCTCTATCAAAATTATTCAACTTGCAAGGAAAACAAGTGTTTAACAACAGTTAACCGAGATTATTTTTAATAATAAAACTTGGGTCTTGACACTGTTATAGTCAGTTTCAAGAGCCACTTAGTAAAGTAAGAAACATGATGGTATATTTGATGTAACAATCTCTCGATGCGATCACTTTTATATCCACTACACTGAATTAACAACTGGCATCTCACGTTTCGCGTTTGTTTGCAAGGATTTATAAAACATATATTTCAGCCATAAACTATGTTTTTTCTTCATTTTGTTCTTTATTTATTAAGTGTATACACAGTGCAAATACACTAAATTATACGTTCTTGGCACATACAAACAAACCAATAGTAATAAGAGGTTCGATAAATGTAGATCAAATTCAGTTTAAAGTTGTCAAAAGAGTTTTTATTTGATAAGATAGAAATGCGCCTTAATTGTTGTCATAATGTCATTTTATGTATGGATAAATCCTCTGGAAAAGAAACATTTTGACCAAGCGATGAAGGTCGTTTGGCCGAAACTTTGACTGTACGTACATTCATTTCCAAACAGCTCTACAACTAAATTATCCACTGAGATACACAAATTATGGGTCTGAAAGCCAAAACGTTGACTGTACATTCATTTCCAAACAGTTCTACAACTAAATTATCCACTGAGATACACAAATTATGGATCTGAAAGCCAAAACGTTGACTGTACATTCATTTCCAAACAGCTCTACAACTAAATTATCCACTGGGATAAACAAATTACGGGTCTGAAAACAGTTCAGATACGAAAAACTACTTTTGTGTATAACGTTTTCTTCTTCTTCCTTTTTTTTTTCTGAATTCGTCTATCAAAAATATAGGATGACTTTAATACATAGCATTGCGTAGAAATATCTCAAATTATACAGTCTTCAATTGCTTGCTTGGTTTCTTGTTAAGCACAAAGCCACAGAATAGACTATCTGTGCTGTGCCCACCACGGGTATCGAACCCCTTCTCTCTCCTTTATCGGTTTTTAGATCTTTTAGTAGACTTGGGAAAGTCAAGTTCACCTCTACCTATCAAACTTTGGTTTTTAGTGTTATAAGTATTCAGACTTACCTCTAAGCCACTGCGGGGTAAAAACCTAAGAAATATGGTTAATTACTTTTGAGTATTGTTACATATTACAATTTCAAATAGTCTGAAACCGAGCTAAATGATAATTTAAATTTAGTGGTTAATTGAATAAATGCAGATATATCTGCAATTTATTATATTTGCCAACAAGATTGATACACAGTTTTTAAATACAAATATGTTTTAATAAACTTTAAAACATCTGTTATTACAAATAGTTATTAAAAACAATGATTTATATACAAAAGTTTTACAAATTTACAAGCAATATAAAGTCTTCTTTCTACTCTGAAACTTCCTTGATGTCTTATCAAGGGTTCACGATGAGTGAGTTAAATTTGAGTTGATGTAGGTACAATTCACTTATCAAGGAGCTAGCTAGCTCTGTGGTATTCCCTGATCACACGCTGATTTTTCCTACCGGTGACGTTAGGTAATGTTTTCGTAAAAGTTTTTGTTTGTTTGTTTGAATTTTATGCACAAAGCTACACAATGGGTTATCTGTGCTCTGCCCAAAACGCGTATCGAAACCCGGTTTCTAGCGTTTTAAGTCTGCAGACATACCGCTGTGCCACTGGGGGGCTTTCGTAAAAGTACTAATGTCCGATGTGGATCCACTGAAGTTAAATGGTTTGTAATGTTCGAAATTTATATATGTTCCTGGTCAAATATCTGAAATGTCCCGATTAATAAGTTATTACAATCATAGTTATAGCTTCCGAGGTTTATAGCACACCAATTACAGCAAACCAATAATAGATACTCATTTTTTTTTGCGCGTCACGTTGGTTATATTTATAAG